GTACCTCAGCCCATGGGGAAAGAGAGAGGGAAATGCAGATGGGAAATTGGGATAAAAAGGGAGGTGAGTCCTCCAAAAATCTGAGAGATCCCAGGGGAATGTCCCATGGCCTCTCTTTTTATTTGAATAAAACAGAAAGGACTCCTCTGTCTTCTTTTTGGACATAAACCTCTGGTGTTTGTGGATTAGTTTTCTTGATACAAGGGATAAAAAAAATTAACCAGCGCTGGGGTGCCCTTGGCTTTTGGCCAAAAGCACTGACAGTGTGATCTATATAGTGTTACATTACTGAGGTACATACATATTCATGTGCTTCATACATTATTCTCTATAGTTTTTGGTGTTTCAGCAACTCTTCGCTTTGTTTTCTTTACAATCTGACTTTTCTGCACAACATCCTGTGAGATATGTTTTATTTCTTCTTGTGGCTCCATCCTGTTGTTCCACATCCTCCAATAAGGGGTTAACAAATTAGGATTTTTCTCCAGTGCTCTGCTTTGTCACTGTTTTCTTATCTCTTGGAGAGGTCGGTCAGCAGAAATAATTATTTCCCACCGTTCTTTCAGTCACATAGAAGCATTCGAAACATTTTGCATTTTTGCTAAGGCCTACAATAGAATACATTAATCTCACCACTATTTCTATAACCTCTACATACTGTACAGGTTCTATAACCTGTACATACTTTAACTAATAGGTTATGTTATACTAATGAACAGATAAATAGAATTATACATTGATTACATATAATATATAATAGGTGCAATTATTATATGATCTATATAGACAGACTATATTTGTCCTAATATATATGTATCTATATCTATATTTATATCTACATATCTATGTATTATATTATATAGACAGATTATATATATCCGAAAATATAATTATATCTTACTATACTATACTATACTGTACTGTACCATACTATACTATACTATTATATTGTATTATATTGACAGATTATGTATATCCGAATATTTATGGTCAATATTAGCATGCATAAGCTAATACATAAATGTGAAAGCCAATATTACATTGTAATTTTTAACAATCCCAAACCCCACAGGGGCCCTGCCACCTGCCGGGTCTGCCAAAGAACCCTTTTGCCCTCATTTGACTTATTTTTTATTTCGTATCACGCTCTCACATACACAGAAAAAGGTCTTGTAACCTCAGGCAAGGGGACAAACATTGCAGTTGGGTGGATGCTGTCACCCATCTGCGCTTCTCCATCGATATTCCTTGGTCCCAGGCTGCCACATCCCCTTTTTCAACAGAGAGAAAGGAAAAAAAAAATCCCACTTGCCGCCGTCACCCCCCAGTTTGCCCTCACCAATCCTGCAAGATTTCATCGTGCTCGTTTTTGAGGCAGAAGTGGCACATTTGGCAAATCAGGGCTGTAAGAACAAAGTTCATTCTTTAGAATTTGTGGAAGTTTAATGAGGGATGAGAAGGGCCAATACCCAGCGCTGGCTGTCCGGTGTCTCGGGGGACACCTGCAGGCCAATGGCGGAACTGCAGCCGGGGCCGCCGCGCATGCGCACTGCCTCAAACGGCTCTCCTGCGCCACCCGCAGAGCAAAAGCGGTACTGCAGCTCAGAGACGCGCGCACGCGCAGTGAATGTCCGAGCGCCGCAGTGGCGCTTCCCGCGCCTGCCGCCGCCTCCCGCCGGGCCTGGCGCACGCGCAGTCGGCCCGGTCCCGGCTGTGGTGGCAGTGTCGGGCAAGGATTGCGGGGAACCCACGGAGGAGCAGCGCAGCTGCAGGAAGTCACCTGACAGGACACTCAAGATGGCGTCAGAGACAGGAACTGGCGTCATTCCACTCTCCAGATAGAGACCGCGATAGGAAGTGACATGTCACCACACACATGATGGCGGACGGGAGGAAACTCGCGGCGCCACACTCAAAATGGTGACAGCACACAGGAAATGACGCAAACCACTCTCAAGATGGCTGCCCGGGCGCGCGTACTAGGCCGTCCTTCCCAAGATGGCGACAGGCTGCGCATGCGCTGTGGGGAAGGCCAGAGAACGGCGCCGTGGTGGAGCTTCTCCCTCAGGACGGCGCCCGGCCCCGACCGCGGTGCTTCTCGGCCTGGGGGTGTGAAAAACGAGCTTCGCTTTCCTGCCTGATTTTTAAAAGGTTTAATAAAAGACAATAAGAGACAATAAACTAAAGGTTATAACGGCCGGGTGCGTGGCCTTCTGCCAAGAAGACACTAACTCAGAGAACACTTTGTTTAATGCATTAACCTGTTGCATAGTCATAAACCTTCATGTATAATTCAAAATCACCCCCTCCCCAACCTATAAATCAACATTTTTACTTTTTTATTATTTTTCCTTGTGGCTCCTTTCATGTCTGTGCACTCCCTGATAATGGAGATCAATAAATCCTTTCCCTGGAGTTTTGGTGTTCGTGGTCCTTGTCTTCAACCAACTAGGATAACCCAAAATGTGAAGAATTTCCTGATTTTTTTTTACCATTTTCTGAGTTAGTTACACGAACAAAAGCTTTTTACATCACCATGCCGTAGTCCAAAAAAATGTACTTATCACATTACTATTTCTAAGTTTTGTTAATAGCGGGACTAAAAGAAACTGTATTCATTCAGCAAAGTTTTCCAACGTTATACACATAGCATTCATTTTAATATTTGTGAAAAGCCAATAATATAATATGTTTCTTCTTGCTTATCTTCTCCTTCTTCTTCTTGGTCTCCAGGCCAACGGCCTTGGTCAGAGAATACTTCTCAAAACAAACCTCATTCATTAACCCTCTCTAACCCACAGACCAGCTGTGGGTCCTACTGTAATTCCCCCTTTTTTCTTATTTGAACTAAAAACGCTGCTAAGGATCTTGCAGGGCCCTTTCAAAAATCCAAGCAGACAGCAGGGGACAAAACAATACTTTAACTTACAAAAAAAGCCATTTGATTATTCTCATCTTCAGACTTAAAACATTCCTGTAAACTGTCCCATTGCAATATAACAGGTCCTTACAATGCATATTCTCAAAATCCTGGCATCCATAACCATGTGCTAACAATAAAAAGGACACATTAATAAGGCAGATTAAAGATGCATCTTCAAACACCATTACAGACTCTACAATCCCTTGATGACACATTTGTGGCAGACTGATACCTTCACTTTTAGTTAAATAAATTTTCCTTCATATAGAGTTACATTTTGTGGCCAAAAGACCAAGTCCAGTCACTAATCAGAACTGAGCAGCATCCACTTAACTACAACTGGCCACTGCTCTCCTAATAAAGCAAACCTAGTTGCCTAAAGTGTGGGCTTTCAGCTACTAATTCAACACCCTTATACCAAAGCAATACCTCTCCCCTAGGTACATTAATACTGAACTTAAAGCATGGACATGAGACACAGGAAAATAGAATGCTTTCATTATTTTTGTTTGAATCACTTTGCTGTGAATTGCTGGGTTTTGTTTTTATGTACTTTTAAATAATTTTTTTTTTCTTTTTGCCACTATAATTATGAATTATATCCACTTTTTATGTATAAGGAGACGCAGGCTTGTGCAAACATGAACAGGCTTGTCACTGCTGTTACCTGCTTGCTAGGAGTGTGAGAGGAATGAGGGATTTGTCTTTACAAACCAGCTGTGGGTCTGCTGGTAGATAAAACCAGCACTGAGAGATAAAAGAAACTTTGGGAAGGATTCCACTGATTGATAAATGGAAAAAGATATTTGCCTTTACAAACAAACTGTAGGTTTGCTGAGAAATGAAACTGGATATTGAAAGATGAAAGAAACAATGGGGAAAAACTATGAATTCTGTAAGAATTAAAAATGAAAAGGGAGGGTTGTACATTGGAGGGGACTCTCAGGTATCAGGTGTTCTGGGAAGTCTGTGCCTCCCAAGTACCTGAGGCATTGAGCAATTTGAGGTATTTGAGAAATTTTACCAAATGGGGAAAGAGAGAGGGAAATGCAGATGGGAAATTGGGATAAAAAGGAGGCTGCATCCTCCAAAAATCTGAGAGATCCCAGGGGAATGTCCCATGGCCTCTCCTTTATCCGAATAAAGCAAAAGGACTCCTCTGTCTCCTTTTTGGACATAAACCTCTGCTGTTTGTGGATTCATTTTGCTGCCAGGTGAAACCTGACAACATGTTGGAGCCTTGACCTGGTGGGGTTTGTAGCCACAGCTGCTGGAGTGCTCGCCAACACGTTGGGGCTTGCTCAGCCTGGAAGCCCAGCACAGCAGGAATGTCACAGCCCACCGAGAAGCTGCCAATAAAAGGGGCAGTGAGCAGGGGCAGGACGGGCGGGTTGGTGACTCCCCAGCGCTGCTTGCCCGTCCCTTATCAATGAATTCATAAATTGCCTTATTGATTGACCAAGCCGATTGTGGGGAGTAATTTATAACAGTGGGAATGGAGAGTGACACCCAGGCAGTGAGATAATGCCTGAGCTCTGTGAAAAGCTGCAGCTGTGCAGAAAGGAGTTCCTTTGTGACAGGGTATGTGACTGAAACACGCTTTAGAACTCGGCAAATTTAGCAGAGCAAGCTAACTACAAAAAGCTGAACATTACTGGGCTCTTTGAGCAGACAATCTTATAAAGCTTGTGCAGAAAACAGGTGAAAATTTCAAGCCTGAGGAAAACTTTTGATTTCCCTGCCCATTTCTCTCTTGATTCTGCTGAAGCTCAAAATTCCCTGGACTGATAATTCTTTCTTAATTTATTTTCCTAATATATCTTAATATATTTTCTACATATTTTCTCATATTTTTGCTCCCTCTTCTAGCCACCAGTGTTCTCAAACAACCTGCTTGACATCCTATTAAAATCT